TATTATGGGTTAGAGACTTTATTACGGGTTTGAGACATGTTTGAGACTGTTTATTATGGGTTTGAGACACGTTTGAGACTGTTTATTATGGGTTTGACACACGTTTGAGACTGTTTATTATGGGTTTGAGTCTGGTTTGAGACAAGTTTGAGACTTTATTATGAGTTTTAGACATGTTTGAGACTGTTTATTATGGGTTTGAGACACGTTTGAGACTGTTTATTATGGGTTTGAGACACATTTGAGAATGTATTATGGGTTTGAGACTGTATATTATGAATTTCAGACTGGTTTGAGACACATTTGAGACTGTTTATTATGGGTTTGAGACATGTTTGAGACTTAATTGTGGGTTTGAGACTGGTTTGACACACGTTTGAGACTGTTTATTATGGGTTTGAGTCTGGTTTGAGACAAGTTTGAGACTTTATTATGAGTTTTAGACATGTTTGAGACAGTTTATGATGGGTTTGAGACAAGTTTTAGACTGGTTTGAGACAGATTTGAGACAATTTGAGATGATTGAGACAGGTTTGAGATGAYTTTGAGACAGATTTGAGAAATTTTCAGAGAAAATTTGTAAAAATCTTGTTTAAACAACCTAAATTTCAGTAAATTCCAAACTCTGTAATTTTTCTCAACCTAGAGAGAATCGGGCTTTAGTCTCCAGTTTAAAAGAAAAATAAAACTGTTTGTTTTTGCTAAATTGTTGTCTTRATTACATCATAATCATACTGTGATATCTGTAGTTCTGAGGAGTTTACAGTAAAACTAAGAAAAACTATAAGAAATTGTCTTAAAGTAAACATTTCTCCTTGTTTGCTTCATTTTAAAAACTGTATTCATGAATATTTTGTGTATTTTGTTTTTCCTCCACACAGAAGCTGAGCAGTCAGCCYTTCAGCGGTCTGACCTTTGACACGGACTACATGATCCGAGTCGTTCCTTTCCCATCTCTGATGAACGAAAGCTTTTTCCCTCCGTCCTTCCTCAGAACCAACTGTGAGCATCATTTAAGCAAGAGTGCTCAGCTGTTGAAGAGTTTTAGTGTTTGAACTGTTTTTATTTTTATTTTTCCAGCATGTGAAGTCCTCCTCGGACCGGACAACCTGGTCTGCAAACCCTGTAAGTCCTTTAATGTTGTCATAAACAAAAGCCACATGTCCATTAACGAAAACAAAGCATCCTTTTGTTGTCTTCTTCTCAGTCTGGAGGCCAAAGAGCCTGAACGTGTCTCAGCTCGGATCGAACCTTCACGTGGCGTTCGATCAGGCTCCGCCCTCTTTTGGTTTCCACTTCTACTACCTGTACTACAAACTGCGACAGGACYGCCTCTTCAGGCTGCGGCGCTGCAAACCGGTAAGACGGGGGACACCCTGGATGTGTCTTCGGTCCATCACAGAGACACGATGAGACATCTGTTAGTTGTTTTAAAGTTTTTTTTTTCAGTAATTCCTTACAGATTATCAGTAACGTTGCTTAGCTCATCTGTTTAAAACGACTGTAAACACTCGATTTTTATTTAGTTTTCATAACTCGACCTGAACCACATCAAGCGTCTCCGCCTCTTCAAGCGAAGGTGGAGGTACCGGCCCTTTTGTTGCAGCGTCCTCCTGGCTGTGTCCTCTTTGATGTGTCTCCAACAACTTTGTCTTTTCATGTCTTTGTGCTCTGGTCGTGAGTCATCGCAGCYCGTCCTGTTTTCAAACAGCCCCTCCTGAAAGGCCTTCGTTGTGCTGCGCTRATTTGTGTGGAAATTCAAAGGCGGAATTGTTTCAGAATAAAYGGACGAATAATCGCGACGCTTTTATTGTGTGAAGTCGACTTCTGCAGCCAAACAAAGTTTTTATGTTCTTTTTATGATTTGCAGGATGTGAATCAAGTCAGGACAACATGTATCCTCCAGGACGTCACTCCAGGAACCTACGTTATAGAGGTACCTGAACGCATCATGACTTACTGAGCTGTTTTTTTGTTTAATTTAGTTTAAAAGTTATTATGTTTTAAAACCAAGAATATCTCTACATATTCATGCAACAAAACAGTGGATTTATTTGTTTTGTTCTGCTTTCTTTCCCTCCTTTTACAGCTGAAAGACGACGGGAACACGACCCGGAGACAAACTCAGTACCACGTCAGTCAGGGTGAGGCTATTATTATTTTAAACATTTATTTTTTAATTTAAACCAAACTTTCTTTTGATATTTTCTGTTCATTTGTTTCTATAAGTTGCTTAATTTACAGAAAAAAGCACTAAAACTCAGAGGATGAACTAGAGTTACAGATGAACTGGTTGTAAATTGTAACTTTAGCTCTAATTATCAACTGTTTSTATCTATTTCTTGTGCTGCAACAGCAAAGAATGTCAAATATAAAAAAAATTGAGGAGCGTAATATTTCAGGTGATTCATGGAAAATAAGAGATAATGTAAAATATATATATATATATGTTCAGCTGGATTGTATAGCATTAACAGCMGATTAACAGCAGAATTGTTTTTCTCATGTTTTCTTCACCAGTCCACTCCCCGTGGGCGGGGCCTATCCGCGCCATGGCCATCACCGTGCCGCTGGTCATCATGTCGGCCTTCGCCACCCTCTTTACCGTCATGTGTCGTAAGAAGCAGCAAGGTGAGGGGACCCAGAAAATAATCGTTTAGATTTAAARGCGTTTTCATAGTTTAGGTTTTAAAAAATTTCCTCTGTTTCTTAAAGTAAAAAGTTGATCTATTTCTTCTTTTAGAGAATATCTACAGCCAGCTGGACGAGGAGAGCAGCGAGTCGTCCAATCAGAGCGCGGCACTGAACAGCGAGCGCCCTTGGCCCCGCCCCAAAGTCTTCGTCTGTTACTCCAGCAGGGATTGTTCCAAGCACACCAGCGTCATCCAGAGCTTCGCCTACTTCCTGCAGGACTTCTGCGGCTGTGAGGTCAGTCTGGACCGCGGTCACCTGCAGACGAGACAACAACAAAAACAAAACAACACAAAACGTTGGGTAAAAGTCAAGTTTGTGCTCAGGTCGTGTTGGACTTGTGGGAACACCTGGAGATGTGCAAAGAAGGTCAGATGTCGTGGCTCAGCCGACAGCTGGACGAAGCAAACCTCATCATCGTCGTCTGTTCTAAAGGCCTACGGTAAAAAAATAGTTTGTTGAAACGTTACAACATTTTTTTAAGCAATTTGGCTTCCCTGCCTCCCAAGTTCTAATGTTTGTTTTTTTATTTTTGTATTTTTGTTTTTCAACAAAAGTAAAAAAAATTCAAAGCAAAAATAAGTAATTGCAACTGTAATATATTATGTGCTTTCTCAATAAAAGAGTTAATGAAAAAAAGAATATTTGTTAAAGAAACAAGCGTTTAGCTGCAGCTCCCTATAGCCACTAGATGGCGATAAAACAGTTTATACAGGTGTCAGAATCTAAAATAAACTCATTTTTACACATGAAAATATTATTTTATTATATGAAATGGTGCTTTTATTTTTCTGTAAGTCTTTATTTGAGTTTTAGGCATATTTGGCAGCTGTTTAAACTCATTACAGACAGAAAGAAACGGCTCCAGTGCTTTATCTGAGCAAATGTTTTAGATTTTTATTTTTTATTTAATTTTTAAACATCCTGTCTGATTTGTTTACCTATCCACCTCCATCTGGCTTTTTTCTTTTATTCCTCAGCCCCTTTCTGCCTCAAGTCCCACCCCCCTTTTTATGCCATATAATGAACTTCTTTTGTCTATTTTAACATTAGAAATATGGACAAATAAATTACACTAATTGTTTAAAACATGATGCTTATTATTACAAATAGTCTAAAGTTTGTAATAAAAAGAACAACAACATTGCGAGAGAAGAATTTGTAGTTTTTTTCCTCTAYGTTTTTGTATTTTATTCCAGGTATTTTGTGGAGAAGAAGAGACGCAGAGGGAAGACGCCGGTCGGTCGGCGTTGTAACAGCAGCTCTCCGACAGGCGGCTCGAACGGCGACCTGTTCGTCGTGGCCGTGGCCATGATCGCAGAGAAGCTGCGGCTGGCGAAGCAGAGCGAAGGGGGCGGGGCTCAGGAGCTGAGCCGCTTCATGGCGGTCTACTTCGACTACTCTGCAGAAAGCGACGTCCCCACGGCGCTGAGTCTGGCTCCCAGGTAGATCCACTGCCGACCCACAGATCAAGCGCCTGGTGCTGAGGGTGATCTGTAGCACTTCCTGGTTTCAGGTTCAAGCTCATGGACCAGCTGCCGCAGCTCTACAYTCGGCTCCACGCGGGTCAGTCTGGTCTGGTGGACCAGGACCAGCAGCCCCTCAACGTCTCCAGGAGGAACTACTTCCGGAGCAAGTCGGGGCGCTCGCTCTACGTGTCCATCTGCAACATGCACCAGCACATCAGCCAGAACCCGGACTGGTTRGAGAGGCAGCTTTCTCCTGACGGCTCTTCATCCGACCCCTCTTCGGTACCGGGTCCGAGCCCACCTTCAGAGCCCGCCGGACCCTCGCCACCTGCAGTCGAGCAGAGGTTTCACCCCGGCCTGGTGCTGAACCAGGTGGTGGTGAGGACGCCGTCGATGGACGGGGTCGACGGAGCGCCGAGGAAGAATGTGCTCCTGCAGGCCTCCAGCTCCAGTCCTGGACCTGGTCTTTGTCCCAGTCCAGACCTGCCTCACTGTTCCCTGTCTGCGCAGGGATCCGCTTCAAGGTGAGTCAAACTTCACGCCATTCTGAATGTCTTTACAGCCGCAGTTCTGAGGAAAACCTGTTGTTTGTTTCAGGTCCACCCCTGAGGAGTCCTGCTCCTCTTCCTCAGCTCCCCCCGTCCTCCAGGATGAAGAGTCCCCTCCCCKCGTCCAGGTGGAAGAGGAGCATCCTTCGGTTCCAGAGGCCCCACCCCCCCGCGACTCGGGCATCTACGATTCGTCGGTGCCCTCGTCGGAGCTGTCCATTCCCCTGATGGAGGGGCTGTCACATGACCAGGTGGACTCCGCCTCCCTGGCGGAGAGCGAGTCGTCTTCGTCGGGGCTGGGTAAAACCGTCTCCCGTCATCACGTCTGCGTATTTATGAAACGTGAATAAAAACRTTCGGGTCTTTTTTAGGTGACGAGGAGGCGCCGACGGTCACGCCGCTGCGCTGCAGCACCGTCTGCAAGGCCGAGCTGCACCACCTGGAGCACGGCAGCGGCGCACACGCAGCCTCGCTGTAGGGGGCGCTCTGAGCCAGGAGGAGCAGGAAGCAGCCGGGAGGAGCAGGAAGCAGCCGGGAGGCGCCGCTGTGGTCATAAAAACCAAACCAGAGGAGCGGAGCCGTGGTTCCTGGTGGTCCGGAACACTGAAACTTTGCCTGAACCACTTTTCTTCATCACGGCGTCCAGCGGTTCTGGATCGATGAACTTTAATCCTTAATTTAAACAAATAATCTCACAGAGATGAAGAAACGAGCGTCGATTACGTCCTCTGGTGCTGACGGTCGACGGAACGAACAAAGTTTCCTTCACGTAAGAGTTGGATTTTTGGTTCTGGTCGGGTCCAGAAATGTAGAAAACGTCAAGAAAATCGTGCCAAAATCTGACAAACGCCTTAATTTTTACACCCAATTTGTGCTGTTTTTCAGCTATTTAAATTAAAACCAACAAAACAACCTATTTACCACTGGAAAAACACTTTTTATAGAATATTTTATTCATAAAAACTGTAAATATTCTCCATAACTTCATGGTTTATTTACAGTGCGACACAGAGAACGCAGAGAGACGGTACAACTGCCTGAAAATGTGAGAAAATGTGACGTAAGTGTCATTTTAGTGAATAGAAATTAAAATATTATTCAGGAATTTCTGCCCTAAAATGAACATTTCTCTTTCTGATCCACTCAGCCCTGCAGAGATCATAAATATTTATATTTTTACATGAAGTACGTGTTTCTGAATGACTTTTTTTTATTTTAAAAAAATTACAATTTAAGAACAGTTTTTAGAAGAGAGAACATTTAAAACTTCAAGGATGTTTTTATTTTTGGTGCTTTTTTAAATCAGAAATAAATTTCCCGTTCATATTTTACTAGTTTTCTGGCAGGAAGCTCCAGTTATTTTATTATTCTTAACAAAAACTTCAAATTTTACTGTTTTTAAGTCATTTTAAGCTCAGTTTTCAGATTTATTTGAGTCGCTGCTCAGTCTGCATGTTTGTTTGTTTGTTTGTTTGTTTGGACTGAAGATTTATTATCACTTACTTGTAAATATGAGAACTATTTCATTGTGTACAGTTAGAGTATTAGTATTTTTATATCCATTTTATAGAAATGTAATGTTTTTTTTACATTAATGTAGGTAAATAAATGTCTGCATCACATTTGTCTCTTTGTGAAAAGAGTTTAACGTTCATCTTTATTTTTATTCATAGAAAAGTAGAAAGTTGTAGAAAAATATTTAAATGCTCAAGAAAACAAAACAGTTGCAGCTGTCACAGTAAAAGTATTTGAGCCGTGAATCATTTTTTGTTTCAGGCTGAAAAACCGGTTTGGGTTTTTAAATTAAACCCAGCAGACAGCTCCACAGTTTGAGCTGCGAGGCGTGAAGCTTTAAAACAACAGAACCTCTGAAATCACTCAGGCTGAAGATRCCGCCTTCAAAATAAAAGCATAAAGTAACGGTATAAAATAATTACTGCAGTCAATCCTGAAAATTAAACAGTTTTAAAAATTGATTTGAGTTAAAAATAACTAAAGCTAACCTCAGCAAAAGATTGGCTGAAAGCTGCAAAATTATTGGTAAAGTTAAACAATATGTGATAAATACCCCAATGCAAGCTAAAATGAGCAAATCTATAGCTAAAAGCTAAATTAGCAACACAGTACCTAAAAGCTAAATTTAGCAAAATCATGGGTAAAACAGACGTTAAAAACAAAAAATAACTAAACGGGGTAGCTAAATAGTAAATCATTGCAAAACCAAAGCTAAAAATACAAAACAGATAAACGCTGGATGCAGGAAACCAAAGGTAAAAGATAAAGTAGCTAAAAGCTAATTTTATCAATACTTTAGCTAAATTTTATGCAGCAAAACTATAAATTAAACCTAYGTTTTGRAAAACTGTAGCTACAAGAAAAAAAMAAGCTACAATTATTAGAAATAGTTTAAGGATAATAACACAAGAGCAGATGGCTAAATGGTACTTGCAGACATATGGGTGAAATTACATAACAGCTAAATGCTGGATAAGGGAAATACATAGAGAAGTAAAAGCTAAATTAGCTAAAGCTAATCCTACAATACTGTAGCTAAATGTTTAGCCAATAGCCATACATTTTCCAACGCTAACAGGTTCCAAAACAGAAAAGATAAATGGCAAAAGCATAGCTAAAGTTAACAAAATATTAACTAAAGGATGAGTGTAAAAAGCTAAAGTAGCTAAAAGCTAATCTTATCAATACTTCTGCTAGGTTTAATCCCGAGAAAAACAGTTAAAAGATTAATTTAGAATATCTGAAGCTAAAAGCTAAATGTTAAGCCACAAATAGTAACATTGTAGCTAGCTCAAAACTAAAATTTGAAAAGCCACTTATAACTATCTAGGTAAAAAAAATTAAAGCTAAAAAAATAAATACTATAACTGCAAGACTGATGTAGTACAAACGCAGAATAAAAGATAAAATTGGCCAAGAA